CACACACACACACACACACACACACACACACACACACACACACACACTTGTGGGAACAGATCTTCTGGCCACAGACTGGAGCCAGGGAGCAGCCTGTGGTCTCACAGGATGCCTCAGACAGAGGGAGTGTTTACATCAGCTCACAGATGACAACACAGAGGTAGCACACTGTCTTCGGTGGGTGAGCACTCCATCAAAGAGGGTGCTTCAGAGGTGACAGTGAGGTGAGAGTGTGGCTCTCTGGCTCTCTGGTGTATTGCTTGGGCCCATATCCCAGCTCCCTGCCCCCAGTCTGTTTCCTTATCTGTAAAAACTGTAGTCATACTTTGCAAGGACTGTGGAGCAAGTCAAGACATGAAATGTTAATGGTTCCTTGTATACAGCTGGTGCTTCATAAACAGGCATTGGAAGTTTTCCAAGGAAGACACTCAGAGGTGACTCTTTTTTTTTTTTTTTTCCTGCATGTAAATGACAAAGTCTAGACAGGGAAAGTCTTGGCTTTGTTCAGAATACTCCTTGGTATAGTACATTCAAGTTGGGGCCAGGGATGGGGCAGGTACTGAAAGGAGAGAGTTAAAAACCCATGGAAAAATGGTTTCCCTCCTCAGGGTATTGAGATTCTCCTTTCAGGAGCCACTACCTCTAGGGAACTTTTCCTGGCTCCCACCCTGCCTCATCCCTTCTCACTCTGGCTTCTGCTGTTCTCTTCAGCATCCAGTGTAGAGTTGACCGTAGCCCTTGCCCAGCTGTGTTCTCAGTTGTTCCCTCTTTGTCAGCCAGGAAGCTTCCTCTCCTCTGAAGCACATTCTGGATTGGGACAGGGATGAGTCAGGTCCTACTGACAGGGTCCCGAGGGACCAGCCTCTGAAGCTAACCCTAACCCAGACACAAGAGGTTTTCTCAGCCTCGGCCTTGTACCTTCAGACCAACTATGACCAAGGTGTTGGTTCTGTAGTTCGTTCTTCTGAACGGTAACACTCCCTCCCAGGGGAGGCACAAGGCCTCACAGGAAACTTTCAGGACTCAATAGGTCCCTCTCCAAGGCTGTATAAGCAGTACACAGTTGCTGGGAGGGAAAACACCATTCAGAGGCCCAGCCTGCAAGCTGGGCAGTGGACTCCAGCGACCTAGATTTTGTGAGTGTAAAAGGCACACTGCCTCACCAAGCAAGACTTTTGGTATATTCATTCCTTCGTTCTGTCACAAGCGCTCTGTCTGAGGTGAATCTCCAAGAAAGGTCACACAGATTTCCTCCCAGCAGGGACTAACAGAACCAAAGGTGGGTTTGGGAGAAACAGCGGCCTGGCCTCCGCTGTGGGTGCCGAGGCCTGTAACCGAGGTGGACTGATCTTAGATCTGCAGGGCCAATCCCGGTTGGATGTCTTTTGCATGTGGGGTGGAATGGTGGACCTCCTTGCTGATTCACCTCCGAAGCTAGCGTAGGTAATCCTATTTTGGTGACATAGCTGCCTCAGTCACCTATGCTATTGTAAGTAACCTCTCACCCACGTTCCTGCTAGTGACTCTAACAAAGCCATTGGTTCACCAAGTCAGACATCATTGGCAATTGTTTCTTTGGTTTGTCGTTGCTTTATCGGCCTCACCTCGGCAAAGCCGTGCAAGCACACTGCATATGCCTCGCCTCAGGCAGGAATCCACACAGACACCTCTTCTGGTCTTGATAGTCTGTGTGGCTTATCTCTCTGCCAGATTGTACTGAAAACCTAGATACCTTTGTAACGCTTTGGCTGTTCTTAACATGGTCTGGTGTAGGAAATACCAGTATCCAGTGTTGACCTGGATCCCAGGGGGGCCTGCTGTCTGCACTGTGTATCCAGAGTCTCTTCTGAGGGGGCGAAATAGAGGGAGAGAGCAAGAACCTGGAAGCTGGTGCAATTTCCTGTTGAAACCAGGTGAAAACAACAGCTAGGTGCTACCTCACCCTTTCTGAGGGTCACACGTCTGGAGTTCTTGGGTGCTGCCGGCCATGTTTGCATCCTGGAAATCCTGGAATGAGGTGGAATCACATAGACAGCACACCACATGGCTGGCAGCTAGAGTCCTGGGCTCCTTGACACCAGGCATGCAATCGTCACCACTGGAGATGTGCTGTTGGTACCTACAGGGTAGCAAAGGGTTTATTTACCTTACCCATCCTTACCTAGCTCTGAGGGCCTGGCTCTAAGCCCCCTGGTTTGTGGGACCTTGCCTCAGCAGTCTAAGCTCAGTAACACACCATGGGAGAAAAACCTTACTCTGCTACAGTCTTCTGAACAAGGGGCCCTGCCCTGGCAGCACAAGGCCCTCATGGTAACATGGAGTCACAGTTACTGGAGACGAACTAGGTAGCCCTAACTGGCCTCTAATTCAGGACCCTCCCATCTCCACCTCCCAAGTTCTGGGAGTACGGGTATGCACTGCCACAGATGTCTTCAAAGAGCAGCTTTTGTCACTAGGAGATCCAAGTGACCCTGGGTTGGAATATAGTCTCTTCTGTTGCACTAACACCTTCAAGTTCAGAGGCTGAAGGGTTCCTGGTCCATATCCCTGCAGAGCGGGGAGGCTCCTCTGCTCAGCTGCTAAAACTTCAGGGTCGGCCTAGTTCCTGTTCTCAAAACAGGCCTGCTGCAGATTGGATAATTTATGAAACAACTTGTTTCTCACAGTTCTGCGAGCTGGGGAATCCAGAAGGTGGTGCTGGCATCTGGAGGGGGCCTCGGTGCTCCACGAGAACGCCAGAGAAGGGCAAGTGTGAATGCACGCTACAGGGGAAATTGTGTCAGACTCAATCTTTATCGGGGATCTGCTCCCATGATGACTCAGCCCACAAAACAGCAGTGATGCATTGATGTCATGCCTTAAAGGACTCACCCCTTCATACTACAACATGTGTATGTGTGTGTTATGTGTATGTTATGTGTATGTGATATGCATATATGTGTGTATTTGTGCATGTGTGCATGTATGTGTGTGTGTGTGTGTGTGTGAAAGGCACCAGATGTCCTGTCTGCGCTGCCTGACCTGTTTCCTCTGTCCCCTGACTGCTCCACCTTCCCTATCTGTCCTACCTACCTTGCCTGTGCCCCCTGCCTGCCTTGTCTGTGTTGGTTTCTCCCCGGCACCCTGCACAATGCAGGCGTGGCTCCCCAGGCTCCTCTTCACGGGCTCCAGTGGCATGACCGCAGCCTTATGTTCCACTTGCGCCTACGATAATGAGCTTAGCCCCGGAGCAAAAAGAACGAGCCCCAACGCTTGTTAAAAATGTGGGTATGGGCTCTCTGCCCCCCTGAACCTCAGCGGTAGATATCGCTTCTGCTCAGCAAAGTCTTCATCCAGGGAGGCAGCCCTTGGTGCTGAGCACAGATCCAGCTGATTACTGGCCGGGAAGACCTTAGGTGAGAAGCGTTTCTTGTTTGTTTTCATGGTCAAATGGAGCTCAGAGTTAGTTCCTTTTGGGGAATCAGGCTCATGCAATCCCCAGAGAGGGTTTCCTTGTGGGGGAGGGGGGCTCTCATCTACCGGAAATGACAACAGCAACTCATCTCCCTGGCTCAGCTTTTGCAGGCAGAAGGCAATGACATCTGCCTTATTTATTTATTTATTCCCAGCTTTACAGCTCAGAGAGAATTGAGCGGATAGAACCTCCTGAATCCTAATGATGCTCCAAGCAGCCATCAGCTTGGTACAGACAGAGCCAACTTTCCCCATAGCTGGGTGACTCTCCCTGGCTCTCCACAACCCCAAGTCTGGAAATCCAGGCTGCAGTTTTCCATTTGCTGTGCTGCTAATCGGGTTACTACTTTCAAATACAAAGTAATGAGTTTTCTAGAATTATCACTCAGAGTAACAGCACGTTGGAGAATAAACCTCGGATGTTTCCGGAAAGGCACATGTAGTCTAACAGCCAGCAATGGGAAAACTCAGCTAGGCAGTGGTGGCCCACGCCTTTAATCCCAGCACTTGGGAGGCAGAGGCAGGTGGATCTCTGTAAGTTTGAGGCCAGCCTGTCTATAGAGTGAGTTCCAGGACAGCCACAGCTGCACAGAGAAACCCTGTCTCAAAAAAAAAAAAAAAAAAAAAAA